GCTGCGGAGGGTCCGAACGCACACGAGCAAGACAGCGAGCGCAAGCCCACAGACCTCGAATCCACCTGAATTCATGGCCTCGATCCCTACGCTGGGGCGCCTGCGCCCCTCCAACAGAGGGCGCAGTGGACGGACCCACAGGGGCCCCAGCAGAGTCGAGGGCAGGAGGAGGGGGGGCACCCCGAGGGGGAGGAGGAGGGGGAGGAGGCTGAGGAGGAGGAAAGGAAGAGGAGGAGGAGGAGGAGGAGAAGGAGGAGGAGGAGGAGGAGGAGGACAGAAGGCGAGCACCCGTTGGACTATTCGCTACAGGAGGAGGATGCCCCCCCCCGCGCGCCCGGCGATTGGGACGAGCAGCCCCCAGGATTGCATCGCGCCCTGGCCGGGCCCTCGGCGAATCCAGCCGTGGCGACGACGGCCTGTCAGGAGCCCCGATCAGAGCGAGCACAGCCTGCCTCCGGTGGGCGGTGGGCCCTGGGACCTTCAAGACGCCCGCCATCTTCCGGCCTCCTCGTCATTCACCCCCTTCGTCCGCCTCCCTCCGAACCTCCAACGTCGATCAATTCCCAATTCTCGATCGATCCTCGATCCTCGGTTGGACCTCGATCCTCGACCCTCGACCGAGCTCCCATCCTTGATCCACCCTCGATCCTCGGTCTTCGATCGAACCTTGATCCTCGATCGAAATTCGACCTTCGTCGAACCTCGATAGACCATGGATCCTTCACGGATCCTCGAGCCTCGATTCTCGATCCCCCGCCATCCTCGATCTTCGATCTAACCTCGATGATCGATCCTCCTCCGCCTTGTCCTCACCACCCCCTGTCATAACCCTCCTCACTCCTCCTCCTCGCCCCCTCCTCCTCTTCCTCCTCCTCCTCCTCCTCCTCCTCCCCCTCCTCCCGTTCATCTTCGTTCCCCCTTCGCCCCCCCCTCCTCCTCTTCCTGCTCCGCATCGCCTTGTCCTCGCCACCCCTCTTCCTCATCATTATCCTCAATCCTCCGCCTCCTCCTCGCCCCTCCTCCTCTTCGTCCTCCACCTTCTTCTCTCGTTCATCATCTTCCCGCCTTCGCCTTCCCATCCTCCTCTTCCTCCTCCTCCGCATCGTCATCCTTGTCATCCTCAGCGTCAAGTCTTTGCCAACTGCGGAAGCAAGTCTTTGTCAAGTGGTTGATTCGGTTTTGAGGCGGTTGAAACACCGCGGTCTGTGACCATGTGACGCGGTTTCCGGCAATGTTGTGATTTGCGGAGGCCGCCTGCGTTTCCCCCAGGGTCGCCTGTATGGGGTCCCCATAGTTGGACCCTCAATTGATTACGTCTGTCCAGAGTCGGCTTCGGCTAATTGATATTGTAGAGTTCTTTGGCCTGCGCCGCCGATTATGACGCTCCGTGGCGCTCCGTCCGAACTCCTCACTCGCCTTGTTTACTAATGCGTGGGTTTTACCTCGAGGAGGTAGGAAGCAAGGAAGGAAGGAAGGAAGGAGGAGGAGGAGGAGGAGGAGGGGGAAAAGGAGGAGGAGGGGGAAAAGGAGGAGGAGGAGGGCCCTGAGGAGATGATGGAGGGTGTTGGCAGTCGCCTTAGGCAGAATGTGATGAATGGAATGTTTGTGTCGTGTCTGGCTGTCGAGTTTGTTGGCGGGTCAGGTTCCCGAACGCGTTGGCTCGTTGGTGGGTCGTTGGGCGAGTCGCAGCCTGAATATTCAATCGTACACTGCTCATGCCCGTCATTTCTATTTTCTCTTATTTGTGGGCTGTGGGTCCAGTCCGAGGCTTTTTGGAGGTTCGTTGGGATCTCGTGGGAAGCTTCTCGGGGGCCTCTTGAAGGCAGTCGTGAAGCCTCTTGGGGCCGTTTGGGAGTCTCTTTGTTGCTTTCTGGGAGCCTCTTGTGGCCTCTTGGGGGCCCTTTTGGGAGGCTCTTGGGACCTCTCGGGTGCCTCTTGGTGCTTCTGGGGCCTATCGGGGTGGAAGGCTCGAATCGTCGGTTCATGTTCCTTCTCTTGGAGCCGTCTTGGGCGCCTCTTGGGCCGTTTCTGGGCCCTCTTACAACATAGAATAATCGGATTGAATTCGTTGATTTGTGCCTCTTGAGGCCCTCTTGGGGCTCCGCTCGCAGCGCTCTTGGGATCTCTTGGGGGCCTCTTAGTCCGTCTTGGGGCCACCTTGGGCGAGTAGGAGTTCTCTTGTGCCGTCTTGGCGGCCTTGGCGGCGTTCCCGCACCCCCCCTTTCCCCCTCTTCCCCGACCAAGCCTTTCCATGCACCCTTCCTCCTGGCAAGTCCAACGCAGTGCCCTCCCTCGCGCATTCCCAACCCACACTCCTTATCTAAACCAGAGGGGATCCTTCAAACAGGGGCCGCCCATTGCCAAAGTTCCACCTTAATCCTCGGAGTCTCAATGCAATGTCTTTCCGAACCCGATGTTCCTTCTCAACTAGTGGTGATCCCAACGCAATGCTTTCCCTCACGAGATGTTCCCCATTCCCCCCAAGAAGAGACATAGCTCCTTCTCGACTCTCGGAATCCCAACGCGCTGGTTTCCAAGTTCGTTGTAGTTCGTTCCACGAAGTGACAATTCCGACGCCATATCCTCCCTCGCGCATTCTTCCATGACTAAACCATAGAGGCTCCCCCCAAAAGGGGCCACCCATAGAAATTCTGCATTCTATCAACTGCTGACAATTTCAATGGACTGCCCCCCTTTGCGCGGCACCCCCTTCCCCATTTCCTTTTCCAGAAGCCACAATTCCCATCTTAACTCTGGGTGTCCACCCAATGTCTTTCCCTAACCACCAGTGTCCTATCGCTCGGCGACAACTCCAACGCAATACCGTTCCTAAGCCACGCTGGCAACTCCAACGCAATACCGTTCCTAAGCCACGCTCCCTGTCTAAACCAGAGAGGGTCCCCCACACAGGGGCCGCCCATAGCTAACATTCGACCTGAAATTTCGGAATCCCACTGACATGCTTTTCCTAACTCGAGGCTTCCTCTCAAGTGATGGGCAACTCTAAGGCATTGTCCCCCCCTCGCGCGATCCCACCCGCCCTCCATCCCTTCTCCAGAAGCTACAATTCCTTCTGAACCCCTGGAATCCCAGTGCAATCTCCTCCCTGACTCGCGACTTTTTTCACCAGTGGGTAATTCCATCGCAATGTCCTCCCCCACACATTCCCAAGTCACGCTTCTTTTCTAAACCAGAGGTCCCCCAAAACAGGGGCCGCACAACGCCACACTTCCACAGTCAACCTGGGAATCATATTACAATGTGTTCCTAACTCTGCGTTTCCTTCTCGGGTCTATTGATGACAATTCTACTGGCATACCCTCGCGCGATCCCCTCCCTATCCCGCTCCGCAAGTCCCAATGTACTGTCTGTCCTAACCCGATGTTCCTGTCACGAGGTGACAATTCGAAAGCAAGATCCCCCCTCGCGCATTTCCAAGATACACTTCTTGTCTAAACCAGAGGATCCTGCAAACGGGGGCCGCCCAACACCGAAATTCCACATTCAACCTGGACATCCCGTTACAATGTTTTTGCTAAGTCGACGTTTTTTTTCCGATTGAATGCAATTCCAATGCAATACTCGCCTTCGCGCGACCCTTTTCCCAACACCTCCACGTCCCCCCACCCACCCACCCACCCACCCACCCACCCACCCACGCACACCCACACTCACACACACAAACACACATACACACATACTCGCACACACGCACACACCTCCCCACCCGCATTCTTGGAGTCCCATTCAATTGCCTTTCATAATCCGATATTTCCTTTAACTAGGTGGCAGCTCCAACGTAATATCCTCCCTTGCACATTCCCAAGCCACATTCCTTGTCTAATCCACAGAGGGTCCCTCAAACAGGGCCCGCCCATTGACAACATCCCATCGTAACTCACATTACCATGTCTGTTAAACTCGGCGTTTCCTATCCACTAGTGATGCTTCCAAGCGATCCCCCCACTCCCTTCACAAGCGCCCTAAAGCCACAATTCACGTCTGATATTTTGAATCCCAATGCAATGCTTTTCCAAACCTAACTCGCTCCTCCAGTGGGGCCTTAGTTGTGGCTCCCAACGGGGCAATGAAGCTTGTGAGGGGTGAGCCGAGACGTATGTGACCCCACCATGTGGACGTTGTTTCTGGGACCTTCGGTGGGGCTCCGTATGGCGCCACGAAACGCGTGAGGAGTGTGTGGACGGTTGCTCTGGGGCATTCGGTGTTGCTCCCTATGGGACCACGAAGCGTGTGAGGGGGGTGTCCAGCCGCTATCATGTGAACGGTGCCTCTGCGGCTTCAGGTGGGGCATTGTATGGAGCCAGGAAATGTGTGAGGGGTGTGCCGAGAAGAGTGTGACGCTGCCGTCCGGACGGTGCATCTAGGGCCTTAGGTGGGGCGTGAGGGGGGTGCCGAAACGAGCGTCACGCCACCATGTGGACGTTACTTCTGGGGCCTTAGGTGTGGCTCCCTATGGGACCACGAAGCGTGCGAGGGGTATGCCGAAATGGGTGTAACCCCACCATGTGGACGGCGCCTTTTCGGGGCCTTCGGAGGGGCTCAGAATGGCGCCGCGAAGCGTGTGAGGGGTCTGCCGAGATGGGCACGCGGATGGCAGAGGCAAGGATGAGAGCAGGGAGGAGGCGACAGCTCAAGGAGAAAGTGAGACGAGGGGCGCTGTCTTTCCAGAATGAGGACCCAACACCACAAGATGGTTGAGAAAAACAAGACGGGAGGTTGCTTTGTGCGTTGTCGGCCGCCAGCGGCGTTTACACGGCCTCGGGACTGAAAACGAACCACGATGAAAAACCGATCCCCCGGAAGCGGCTCAGATTTTTGGGGTGTAATTTTCCTGCCCCGGTTGCTTTTGACAGCCCCTGGGCCTCGGGAAGGGGGTCCAGAAGGACAGAGACGGAGACAAAAAGTTCTGGGCTCCCTGCCCCATCGGGGCTTTGCCTCTTCCTCGCCGCAGTCCCGCGCGCCCGCCGCGCGCCGCGCAGCACGCCGACCCGCTGCTCTTCGTGTCGCTGAACCCCGACGAGTGCCCCCCCCCCCCCCCCGACGCGCACCGCAGCTCAGAGGAGGAAAAGGTACCCATACCTCCAACCTTCGGCCGTTTTCCCCTTTTGGGCCTCGTATGATCTCGTCGCAACCGCTGGATTCGCCTCGAGATTCTGGTCAGAACGCACCCCAGGAGAGGTCCGGGGAGTAGCGGTATCGGTACCTGTTGGTTTCTCCAGCAGCGCTTTTTTGTGCATCCCTTCGCTGCGTGCCTCGGCCGCTTCCGGGCCGGACGCCGCTGTCTCGACTGGGACTGATGGAGGGAAGCTGGAAGAAGTGGCCGGGGCCAGCCTTTCCACTGCTTAAGCCCTGACCAGTGTCCCGCTCAGAATTCCAGCTATGGCGACCTCCCATTGGTGTCGGGCTCGTTTCAGCCCTTGCCAGACTCAGTTTTTCCAGTCCTGGCCATTTGCCCTCATATGTGTTTTTTGTTTGTTTCCGAACTTTCACGTGTTCATGTTCGCTATATGCATACACCACTTGCTGGGGATTCTCAGAACTGCGCGTCGCAAGCCACAATCGTTATGGTAGTTATTGTGGGTCTTCGCCTTCCGGAGGCTGTTTTCCAGCCTCAGTGCCGTCGAAAACGGCTCGTGGACGAAAGGTTGATGCCCCAGAAAGTGTGCTCCCCGAGTATTGATGTCGATTAGCCTCACGTTGTTGACGGCGATAGAAAAATAATTCTGAGAGCAAGTTCCCCATTATTCAAGCAGAACCGGAGAAGATGACCGCAATACCACAAAGAGGCATCGTCCAGTGCCATCGCAATCGCCCGAGTTCGGCGGCAACCCACCAGCGAATAGTGGTACCCATTGGGATAGGTATGGTGGGACAGAAGATGAGAGAGAGAGAGAGAGAGCCTGACATGGCCACTCCAATGATTCCCGTCAGGAAGACAAGGCTGAACGCGGACCAGGAGTGACCGGTACAATATGAATCGCATGAGGCCCAGGCCGAATGCCTCGATCAAGGGTGGTATGTCGATTGCCAGTATGATTCTACCAAGAACGAATGCTGGCGGCCCACTGTTTGGCGTGGGAGCAAAGCCGAATATCGTCCAGGGCCGACGCACATACACCAGTATTGCGAGTGTTTTTTTCGAAACGGAGTTTGATTTGGTTCTTACTTCGGCGGTTCGTTTCAAGTTGTGGGAACCCACGCAATGATAGCATGTCGTCTGCGCGGCGCCATTTGGGCATGGCTTCTACGTGATGAAACAACACATCCACAATGTGTCGATTTCGGTCTGGTGTATAATCTTAATGGCAGAGTCCGTCGTTTGTATACGCTGCCCCCAGGTGGCAATAAAGTGCCTGGCGAAATATTCTCGGCCCAGTGCGGCATAGCCACGTGATAAGTACTCTTCGTTTGGCGCGAGCACTGAGTGGCGGCCGCTGTCGAGGCAGTCGCGCGCGTGAGATTTTGTTGTGCCACATTGCACCAGCCAGTCACAACTGCATCGCATTTGAAAATGCAGAGTGGCAGATTGCCCAGCGAAGAGGATCGATGATCGCATTCTCGAGGTTACAAGAGGGTTACGAGCTCCAGATGCGGAAACTAGACACACGGGCTGAGGCAGCAGAACAGATCTGGACGAGGGTTGGTAACGAGATCGCCGAAAGGCAGGCCCACGCAGAGGCCGAATTGGCCCAGGCCGAATCCGAAAGGGAGGATCAGGACCGACCAATTGTGGAGTATCGGTGGATTCCGTTTGACGTGAGGCTTCCGCTTCTGGCACGCAGGAGGCTGAGCAGGCTGCCCGACTCGTTGAGATGTCGGAAGCCAGGGGCTAAGGAAGTCTTTACGGTTGAGGACCGTGGGATCCGAACAACAACATTCGGGATTGAACACATAGTCTAGACCCAGAGGGCCGAAACGGCCATGGACCTGGACAAACACGAAAAGTGTCAGGCCGAAAGGGATAAGTTCGCCGCTCTACGGAATCAGTTGTCTCAAGGTGTGAGTTCAAGTTCTGTTCGCCAAGCGTCTTCCACCTCCACCACCTTGCAACAGGCCAGCGACAGGATTGCCACCATGGGGGGGGCAGTGAGGCGAGGACGGCTGCCGACGGCAGTGTTGCAAGATGCTTCTTGCGCACGCTGGCGCGGCGCACGGACTGCGGATTCTGCAGGAAGTCGCGTTGCAAAGGCCACCTCAACGTGGGAGCTCTACGGCCCAATGGGAGGGTCCGCATGGCGGCACCGCCCAGTCTGGCACGCCTCTCGCAAGGATCGCGCCCCCAAAAAAGGGGGGAGGGTCCACGGGAAAGTTTGCATGCGCATTTTCGCCCGTTTCGGCACACCCCGCACGCGAGTTCCATCTACGGTTCCAAGTTGGCATGCGTTTCACCGCGCATGTCGGCGTGCCCATGTCACGTTTAGCGACACCTCGGGAGCTCCACATACGAAAGTTCGAATGCGTCCCACCACACATGTCGACAATTCCCTTAACGGGCTTTACATTGAGAGATTCGCCACCAACGTAACGTGAAGCTGCAAAGGGTTGGGCCCCTCGCCAGGCTAATTTTGACAGTTTCAGGGGGGCGTAATTCGTGACGTGCTTGTTGGGTGTTGCCGTCGCTACTTAGAGGGACTCTCGCCATGGTCGTCGTCTTGCTCATTCCTCCCTTCCTCCTCTCGACGGTACTTCTGTGTGGTTGGGTTGTTGCAACCGGTGCGTGTGGCAGCCTGTCTTGGCAAACGTTGTGTTTATTTCCCAGCTTGTTGTTCATCAGTATGTTCCGCCATGCTTTGTCACATCGGGTTTGTTCCAAACAGTTCCGGCCGCAGCGAAATTTGATCCACAGGCTTGGCTGATGCGTGAGAGGTTGATTTGGTAATTGCGTTCCGTCGCAACAGTTTGACCCTTTGATGCCTAGTGTTGCTTGCCGCCATCGATTGTTTGACTTCCTTTCGGTCTACTTTGTTTAGCTGTGGGCGATTATGTGGTGCATTCTTTAGTAAAGACAATTCTGCTGTTTCAGCGGATTCTAGACATGGTAGTAGCAACTCTTGAAGCGCTCAGCATGGCAAGGGTGTCTCTGGGACTGGCAGCAGGGGTTGGTGCTGGTGCTGGGGCTCTTGAGGAAGAGCGAGCAGTCGCCGCTGCTGCGACCCAGCCGCGCAACTGCTCATGCACTCAAGAGGACTATTTGGGATTCTCGAGGGGCTTCTGTTTTCGGGCCGCTCCTTGAATCTATGTCGGGGAACCACTTCGTGGCTGAGGCTCGCCATCGCCAGGAAGGCTCGTCCGCTCCTTTTTTGTTCAGCAGTCCTCATGGCAGCACGACGCCGCGCTTTTCCCATCACCTCTGCGCCCGCGCCCAGGAAGCCGTCGTTCAGGCGCCGGGGGCTGGTGTTGCGCGTTCCGCGTGCTTCTCTTCTCTGCGAGCCCTTGCTCTTACGACAGTTTGCCCGCTTTCTGGGCCCACGTCATGGCGCCCAGGGTTGCCTATGATCCTGTCGATCGGATCACACTCGGCAGTGTCTGCGCGCGGCTAGTCGATCCGACTACGCTCCCGGACTTCACGGATAGGTTAATCGACCTGCGATAAGGCGTACGGTGAACAGATGGACGGTTCTTATGTTTTCTCTCCCTCCCCCATGTTGGGGTCCACCCCCGCCCGTGCTGTGCTCCACTTTCAGTCGTGCCGCTGACTGCCGTCACTCTGGTCAGTTGTTTGGCCGACACGCAGCAGTGTCCATTTCGATCCGATTTGAAATCGACCCCGGCCAGCCCGATCCGACTCGATTCCAATGTTCCGACCATCCGATGCGGCCCGATGTTTACATGGCATTGTTGTGCATGTCGGTGCGGCCGACCTGATTCGGTTATGATTTCATACCGGCCGACGCACTCTCCGATTCAACCGCGCCGCTCCCCACGATCCCGGTCGGGACCCCTGCCTTTTCGCATCTTCCTTCGCCGCCCTCGTCCGAGTCCCCCTCCCCGCTCACAGCCTACTGCGTCGGAGGTTGATAGACCTCCTACCCTGACACGTCGATTAGCGAATTGGCTTTTTTCGGTTCGCGAGAGGGCGTCGCGGCCGTCATTTTTGCGGGTCCAGGTCCGTCGGTTTCGGTCCTAGGCCGTTTTCACTAAGGGGTGGTTTATTAAAGAGAGGTTTGTCCACCGCCGATTGCGTTGCTCTGAAAAAAAACAGCTACAGGGACTCTGGAAAGTGGCCCGGGCCGGTCTTTTACTCTCTCCAGCACTTGCGACCTCGACCCAATTGTTTCGGGCTTGTTTCAGCCCGTGCCACCCGTGCCAGCTTCTTACTTTTCACCCCTCCCACGATGGAGGAAAACGATGAGGACGGGGACGGAGGAGGAAGGTTCCGTACCTGTATGAATGCTCGGTTCCTTTGCCAGAGTGTGCACCCGTCCGTCCAGCGATTCCATCTGCGCAATACACGTGCAGGGTGCAGGCTGTCGAAGCATTCGGAGCGCGCCTGGGGGTCGTGGAGAGACATCGGGGCTGGGAGAGAAGTCCGGTGCGGTCGGGCAGCGCAACGCTTGCGGGTGATGAGGCAGAGTGGCAAGCAGAGTGGCAAGTGGTATCTCGGTGTTGGCAGGAGGGTCGGGTCTACCGAACGGGGTGGGATATAGCAAGTGTTGCACGGAGCTGGTTTCGGCCCCGCCGCCGAGCGCTTTCCTCGATGAACTGGCGCCTCTTGCGGCTGGAGCCGCCATGAAAAACAGCTGCGTGAGTCGGTTCGCTAATCCCCCCTGGACTGCCCCTCCTTTCGTCCGACCCGAGCTCACGTACAGGTGATGAAGCCAAGCGGCAAGCGGCGTCCTCGTTGTGGGCAAGAGCGGTGTGCGGCTTTCGGGCGGGTCAACCACTTGTCGGTCTGAAAGATTTCCCAACCCCTATGTTTGGCATTACCCCGATGCCGATCTTAGATATTGTCGCAGTGCCTGAGGGCACATCCCTAACATTGTTATCGCTTTTGGCTTGCCCATCTTAGGGATATGGACGAGTTCGAGTCGGGTTGACCACGGGGGCGCGAAGATGACATCGCGCGTCGCGGTCTGGGCCTGAGCGGCTGCCGTGCTTCAAGGGGGCAGCGCGAGGGCGCGGATGTAATTGCACGCCGCGCATCGCGGGGCGTAGTGCACGAAGTAGGGTGACCCAGTGCATCAGTGGTCGCGTTCCCCCCCCTCCCCGCCCCGCAAAAAAGTAGGTCTGTGGTCGAGCACCGTCTCAGCATGGTTCTAGCCCGCTCAGTCCGGCCTCAATCGGGTTCAGTATCTTTTGACCGTTCCACGTAGGACCTCCCAGGAGTTGCCTCCCGACTCTGAGCCCTGGCCAGGCGCGCCGTTGAGCAGAGACCCGAGTGGGGTGGAGCCGCAGGCAACACGACGCCAACAGCTTTGCGCAGTGGCGCGAGGAGCACCCCGCGATGGGCTAGCGGTGAGAGACTGTGGGCTTTCGTGTCAATGTCGCCACGAAGCAAGCGGGTCGTGAGAGAAACGGGCCCTTACAGTGCGGGCGCACATCAAGAAACCATCTACTTCTCGTCAGGGTACCCTGGGTTTCTTCGCTCCACGCGCTGCCCAGTGACTTACCGCGGCCGTCAATTAAGCTCCTGCGTTTCTTGCGGCCGCGCCCTCATTGTAGGGTCCGTCGTTCTTTGGAACGCTCCTAGTATGGTCGGTCGCTGCAATCCTGAATCGTTTCTCAGCCGGAAAAGTATGTCATAAAAGTAGGCGATCATCAAACATACGAAACACTACAACTAACATACACATTCGATTTACATACAAAAAATAGTCTGTGCTTGCAGAAAGCAATCTCAGAGCGACCGACTTTTGCGTAACGCAGTCCGTTGCCTGATCGGGAATGCCTTATGGTTGCGGCGTCCAGGCGCGCTTATGCGTTTCACCATGAAGTTCGGAATGGGCTTTTTTGGTTATGCTTTTTGTACGCTCACCGCAGGGGCGCGCCAGGAAATGGCGTGTGGCGCGGCTCTGGCGTCGCCCGCAGGGGCCCGCTCACGGGGCCCCACCAAGTCCGCCTTAGGTGGAACTCTTCACGGGGCCACGACGCGCGTGAGGGGTGAGCCGAAATGAGTCGGAGCCGCCGCGCGACTGTGGCCGGTGGGGCCCGGGGGGGCCTTCGGTGGAGTTCCCCATGGGCCACGAAGCGTGCGAGGAGTGCGCTTCCCGGAGAGGCAGGCCCCGGGAGGCGCAGGACGGCCCCAGGAGGGCCTGGCTCCCGGGGAGGCAGGCTCCCGCGGCCGACGGCTGTGCGCCGGCGGCTGTGCGCCGGCGGCTGGGCGCCAGCGGCTGGGCGCCGTTAGTCAGAACAGGAAAAGATACATAGACACAAAAGGTTTTATTGGTTTTACGCCGGAGAGGGGCGTCGTTGAGAGGGTGCCTCGCACGGATACGGGGATCGGGGTGGCGTCGGTGTTTTTGGAGCTGGCGGTTTGCGTGGCAAGTGCGCTTAGCTGGTCGCATGCGTTCGGAACGCGCGACGGGTGGAAAGGCCGATTACCAGCAACTGGCAGTCCTCTGCCCGCGGGTCAGAACAAATCGTCGCGCGCTCGCAACGGGGTGTGGGAAAGGGGATTGGGAAGTGAGTGCGAGTCTCATTCCCAAGCAGTCCCTTCGATAGGCAGCAAACAATTATTTTTCTATTCATCTGCCGCACGGTCACTAGAACGAGCGAACAACTGTCTAGGCGCGAATTGTTAGCTTCGCTTGCGCGCATCCAGGCTTCCTTCCGTTGCTCCCTTCGCTTCTTTCTCGCCCTCCTCTTCTTTTTTCTCTTTCCCTGCTGTGCCTTGTCCCGCCCCCCGCCCTTTCCAGCTCGGAGCTGTCACCGCGCGCGAAGAGCGCAACCCAAAAGATGTTGCTGTAATTCCTTTGTGTGCCACGAAGTCTCGTGTAGTTTCTTTGCGCGCGGTCCGGTTACACTGCCAGCGCGAGGGGCACACAAAGGAATTTCCTTTGTGTGCGATCGTTCTCGCCGCCCCCGCAAGAGCACGCGCGATTCTTTTGTGTAGAGCTTGCTTTTCCGCCTCGAGGAACGCGCGGGCGCCTGGCGCTACAATCTCAAGGCCGCGGCGCCTGGCAGTGCGATGCAGCTGCGCCGGATACCACGCCCAAAACGATCCTACGTGGATTTCGGTTCTTCTGCCGAAATCGCGCTGGCAGCTGGCTAGCCACATCGCCGGCCCTGCATGCCCGCGCGCGCTACTGCGTTCTTCTGCCGCGACGCGTGCTGCTGCATCGTGCTGCGTGCTGTCTGCGTTATTCGCGCATTTGTTGTTGTGCTTTCTTTTTTGTTGTTTCTCTCTCTCTCTCTCTCTCTTGCGGCAGGTTCGCAGGGGCGCATTCGTTTTCCATATGTCGCTTTCTATTTCCCACTCATTTCGATGTGATGAATATGTGAACAGAGGGCCCCACCGCGCGCATTCATGTTTCATTGATGTCCGCACGCTTTCAATTTGAGAATAGTTGCCCAAAAGGAGATATCAAAATACTGATCAACCAATCGGTGACGCACCCGCGCCACTTCCGCGCCTATGTTGCAACCCTTCTTTTCACATGTGTTGTAACAGCCTCGAGAAAGTCCCTGGGGGCGCCCAGGAAACGCATCTGTTTTCACTTGCTTTTTCGCTGTCGTTGCCCGAGCCAGGCTAGGGGCAGACCCGGAGGCGGGCCGACAGAGCGGGGCCGAGCCGAGTGCCAGGCCGAGCCGGCCCCGTGCGGGGTCGGCCCCAGGCTGGGCGTGGAACGAGTTGGTGCCGCTGGCATTTGTTTCGGGCCAGCTGGGCCAGGGTTGCAGCCGAGTTGGGATTGGGTAGATGCGAAGTTTGGGCGCTGGACCGGCGTGGAGGCGGCGCTGGGTCTGGTGCCAGACATGGCGCATGCAGGGACTGGCGCTGGACTGGGGCGTTCACATGTTGCTGCCCTTGCTGCCCTTGCTGCCCCAGCCTTGCCCGCGCCGCAATCGCTTTCGCACCATCGAAGCTGTACTGATGGGGCGGAGCGAAACCATCGGCGCGCAAGATATGCGTTCGGGGAACCCCGGGGCGAGTCGTTTATGAAGGGGGACGCGCGCAGCTACTTCGTGCCCCGCGCGCCGCTTCATTATTCCAGCGACTGGTGAGCTAGATTTGCATTTAAGAAACGGATTGTGCATGCATTTCATTGAACAGTTTGTTGGTTTTCATTTGGTTTGATGATATCCTGATTTCGATGTTGTCCAAAAGTTGAGAATTTCAATCGTTTTAGGGCCCACTGGCTCCCTGGGATCCATCAGGACCGCCGAACAATGAGACGGGATGAGAAACTGTTTCCAGGACTCTTGGTTGCCAGACCCCACGTTCCACGATCCGCATTCATCAGTACCCGTTTTTCTCATTGTTATCCAGCTGCCTACGGCAAGTCTTGCCACCATGCATGGGTTGGTGGTAACTAGCCTAGTGGATTTTCGTTGGAATCTCGTGAGAGGCCTCTCGGGGGTCTCTTGGAGGCAGTTTTGAAGCCTCTTCGGGTCTGTTTTGGGGCCTCCTGGGGCCTCTGGGGGGCCGTTCTGGGTCTTGGGGGGTCCTGTTTGGGGGCCGTTCTGGGGCCTTTTGGGAGCCTCTTGGGGTCTCCTGGAGGCCCCTTGGGGCGAAATACTTGGATTTTCTGTTCGTGCTCCCTCTGTGGGGCCCTTTTTGGGGCCGTCTTGGGGCCCTTGGGCCGTCTTGGGTTCCTCTTGGCTTGTCTTGGGGCGCTCTTAGGCCGTCTTGGGGCCCTCTTGGAGGCCGCCTTGGGGTCGTCTTGGAGGCCTCTTGGGTCGTGCTGGGGCGTCGGATAACAGAAAAGGCAAGCATGCCCAAATCCTTCCACAAGGTGAGGAACATCAATGATGGTTGCCTTTGGGAGACCTCTTGCAGCATGGCCGGTGCACGCAGCAAGGCGCTTCCCGAGGAGGTGGGGGCTTCTTCGAAGATTGCAGAAACCTTGCAAGACAGCACTTGGCATTCTACTACGCCTCATCTTGCCAAGGGGTACGGTGGCGGATTCGCATAGTTGGTCCAGCGCAGGTTGTCTCGAATCACCCAATGTTGAGAACGCCGCTTGAGGCTCATATGCCGGCGCCGTTCGGAAGGGCGAGGCACCAGTGAACAGGCTCAGTCGCTTATCTAGTTCTTTATTGGGAGTCGAGGGGCCAGTTCAAGACAGATTGCAGCGGGCAGTTCCCCCTATCGCTGTAGCAATTGCCTCGCCCCGCGTATACACATACAGCAGCTGCGGATGAGGGTGAGGCGGCCTTGGTCGCATGCCCATCGCTGGCGGGTGGCTCAGCACTTTGTGGGCCCCGGAAACGGCAGGGCCGTTTTTTCACCGTTTCCAAGAAAATGTCCCTTGAAAATGGAAACGGCAAAAAAACGGCGGAACCGGAGCCGGAACCGGTCCAAAAACGGCGACAGAACCGGTAACAAAAACGGCGTCGGAACCGGCAAAACAAACATCAAAACGAAACCAGTAAAAAGACGGCCCTGTCGTTTCCGGGGCCCACTAAGGCTGAGCAGGTGAGGCGGGCCGCAGGGCGATTGGCAATGCCGTGTTCGCAGCGGTAGCAGGTCCTGGGCAGTTCGTCGGCAGATCGTTGTGCAGGTCGTTGGCGGTGATAAGACAAGACAGCAGCGACGCACCCGCCCCAGCCACGCACCCACTTCAGCGACGCGCCAGGGGACACTGCAAGAGCGTTCGCCCACCCCGTCACAGTCTCAGCCCCTCTCTGTCTCTCTCTTTTTCTCCCTCTCTCCCTCCCATGCACATTTGAATCTAATGATATTAGGTGATGTTTCGTAGTTGGGGGATGATTGGGGATAGCGGGGGCAGAGGGCGGGGGCATGGGTGGGGAGGGGAGGGGGCCGAGGCAGGGTGGAGGGGGAGATGAAGGTGTTGGTAGGGTGTGCGGGGATGAGGAGGGGCAGGGGAGGGGGGCATGGGAAGGAGGGAGATCCTTGTCGTGCCCTCCTTGGGGGAGGAATGGGCTGGCATCTTGGAATCGTGGCTCATTCAGCCCGGCAGCTGGAGAGCCGCCCAGGAGAAGTGCATTCTGAGTAATACGGTAGTCTCGCGCCGTGTCGACGCGGCGGCGACTCCAGCGTCGACGTTCAAAATTTAAGCCGCCAGTGGCCTAAAATCGGCCAGCATCCAGCGATCCGCGCTATCGCGATTGTTCGAGGTTAAGCGATCCACGCGGTGTCAGGAACCAGTGTGTGAGTCGTGACGACACGAACCTCGCGTCCGTGCATGTCAGGTCCGTGGGTAGGCTGTCCGGTCCCTGCTTGTCTGTCTTCCCACCAGGGCAGTGGCGGACTGTACACGATTCTGCCACAACCATCATGCACAGCACCCAGGACAATGTATCTGGCGGCTTATCTTGAACAGTCAACAAGGCCCAGATGGTTTTTGCTTTACCCACGACAGCCGTGAACTCAGAAGATGCAGGACGACCCATACCATGCCTAAACTCGGACGTGGACATGCTTTGCCGCATAGCTTGAACCGCATAGCTTACTCCACATAATTTACACCACACAGCTTGCAGCTCACAGCTTTTATCGCACAGCCTACACCCTATCATAGCTTGCATCACGTACCTTGGACTGCATAGTTTACACCACATAGTTTGCACACCGTTGCTTATTCCATGTACTGTTTAGCGTGCTCCGCATCGCTTACACTACATATTGCAACACGTACAACGCATAGCTCACATAGCCACTGTGTAATACTTCACAGTGTGAAGTCCACGCTTGTCCTGGGCACTGCTTTTGTCCGTCGCGAAAGGCATGCTATGATTATGCCGACGCGCCGAGAGTAATTCTGGCCAGCGCATTGCTGAGTGCAGCCGGGCACACAGAGTATTGAGCCTCCTGGGTCTGACGCGTCGAGCCAAGCGATCTCCTCCCATCCTGATTAGTGCTCGATGCCATCGGAGATTGCTATTTTGCGTCTAGCGTTCACCCGGGCTACCTGTCCGTGCTTTCTTCTCCCCCCTCCATAGTTTAGCCTTGCCGCTGATCGTATCCGACGGGCGTTTCCCAGACGCGTGCTCAGTGGCGGACCTCGAATAGGATTACATGAGAAATCGCGCATAGGGCAGACAAGTGTTGAGATTACCGCTCATCGCCCTCTCTCCCCCCTCTTGTCGATGGATCACCCAAGAGCTCGCTAACAAAAGAAACATGTCGCGACCGATTGATGGACAATTCAGGGGAGCACGCAAATTACCCTGGCCCAGCACGTGCACAGCCCTGAAGCAGACCAAAACGTCCCCATGTGCCCCCATGTCCCACAGTAGACGAAGAACACCCAAAACAGACATACACGTTAGGCCGTCCATGCGGAATTCTTGGGTCGGCGCTGGACCCCCTCGCTGGCGTACCCCCCCTCCCCCCTTGGCGGCGCTGGAGGAGGGGGGTCCAGCGCCGACCCAATCAATCTGCGGGGACCTCCCGAAGTTTCTGTTTACGTGGTGATTCCTTCGAGTTTTTTTCGGGAGGAGTTGCTACACAATCCCCCATTCACCTCACCCCGACTTGCTCCAACAAGTATCGCGTTATCCATCGATGTTCTTCAAGGCTCTGTCCGGCAACCGCTCTGTGATCAGGGAAGCGGGTCTTGCACCCCAGGGCTTTTTTTGGGCCCAGCTCTTCATTCCGAGCCGTTTCGTGGACGGTCACGGGGCCGCGATCGCTCCTGCAGCAGCATCGGGCTGAGCAGGAGGATGAGGGCCCCGGAGGGGAAGCATCGACCCCCAATCTCCTATTCATCGCCGGTAGGTGATAGTCCGCCCCGCCCCGCCCAGCAACGTGGGTTTTCGCTATCGCCGACCGATTTCAGGTCGATGCTCCCTCCCCCTGAGCCAGTGCTCCCTCATCGTTCCACCTCCAGGACCGAGGCAGGCAAACGGGAGGGATTGGGAAGTCTGATTCATGCTGGTTTATTCTCCGGCGTTGGTACCTCTGGCGCCATGGGGCGCAACCACCCTTCATTACCCCCCCCTTCTGGCCCGACTGGAGCTGGGCCTCGTGGGTGCGCGGGGACGATCGCCGCGTTCTGGGCCAGAAAGGTTTTCTCCAAGAGGGCGGGGCGAGGGCGCGAGGGCGCGAAGATGCTCCCGGGGCGCGAGACGCGATGTCGGGTGACGACCCGACGGGGACCTCAGGACGTGACACCTTCGCCGCAGGAGGAAGAGGAGCAGCATCGAGGACCTGTGAGGATCGAGGATGATCGAGAGCCGAGGGGCATCGAGGACGGCTCCGGCCGCAGGACTCGTCTGGCGACCACTTCGTGATCGCCCGGGCCGTGGGCCCCCGCGGCGGCTGGCTGGGCCTGCACAACGCAAGGCGCGCCCCGCCTCCGCGATGCTGTCAGTAAGAGCCTTCTTAGGGCCAGAGAGGGACCGGCTCCTCCCTCCTCCGTATCCTCCTCCTTCTCCGTATCCTCCTCCTCCTCCTCCTCCTCCTCCTCCCATCATCAGCAGCAGCATCATCAACATCATCATCCTCATCATCATCATCATCATCATCATCATCATCATCATCATCACCGCTATCACTCTTAGCATCAGCATCCGCATCGTCCTCATCATAATCATCCTCATCATTACCATCACTAGCATCACCATCACCACCATGACCATCACCATCACCACCATGACCATCACCATCACCGTCTGCATCAGCATCACCATCACCATCAGCGTCAGCGTCAGCATCCCCATCCTCATCCACATCCTCATCTTCATTTCCATCCTCATCATCCTCATCCTCTCCATGAGCATTATCATCATCATCACCATCATCCTCATCACCATCACCATCACCATCATCATTTCATGTGGAAGTACGTGTGAAACGATGTGCGTGTCCCAAGTAGCGTGGTGGCAGTGCGTGGGCGGGGCTCTCAGGGCTTCAGCGTCGCTCGCGTGTCTTTTCGGAGAGTACGAGGCCACCAGTTTTCCCGTCCTTCACGATCACGTCCGTCAGCATTTTGTGGTTCGGTTCTGTCGTGAGGTCTTTGTGCCACTACCAGAGCGTGACGACCCAGCAGTTCCTGCCCTTCCCGATTACCCTCCAAATGGAGGCGATGCATCGGCAGGTTGTTCAGGCGGCAGCTGGCGCACAGGGTGCGGAAGACGGCTGATCCCAGGCGAAGAGAGCAGCAGGAGACATCTTCGACGAGGAGTCTCGCAGTTTGGTGGTGAACACGGTGAAGACCGCGGTCGGGCTCGACCTGGTGTCCCGTCGTTTCGGGCGTTGCCTCGCTTTCGTGGCCTCTGATGTTCGGCCAGGACACATTCAGCTCGAGGAGATGAGGGAGTCGGGATTTCGGTTCGATGAGGCGAGGCAGAAGCACCAGTACAACGGCAACCAGGAGGCGCTGGCGCAGATGAAATGGGCGCATCTTCGCGCGTGGATCGGTTTGTGCCTTTTCGTGCGGGGCGATCCCAGCGGAGGCGTAATTCAACGTGGCGGCGCACGTCCAGGCCGCGCAGAATGCGAGAGATAACAAAGACAACCTCTTCGCGTGCCTCCAGGCGGCGCACCGCCAGGCGAACTGGCGCGACGATGTGTCTCGCACCGAGCTGATCACGACCCCACAGTTGCGCACCGTGGCGGCGAAAATTCATTCGTGCATCCTGAGGGCCCAGAGGGGGCGTCAAGGAAGCCAGCAGTCCACCCAAGTTCCCGAAAGTGCGGGCGGTCATCCAGAATTCGGTGCACCTAGGCGAGTACCAGGCCCAGCCTCACCAACGATGTCGCTGCCGCGCGAGCTCTGAGGGAGTCCTTCCCTGTGCAGTCTCTTTGGCCCGTGGCGTGGCTGCGGCGCTGGCAGCGGCCGACGCCCTCTGCGGGTGTCGGAGCGGCTGCGCCCGTCTCCGCGCTCTCGCGCTCCCCCGTGAGCCTCCGACCTCTCTCACATTGGAGACCCCCCGGAGATCTCGGGGGTCACAGCTGTTTCGGAATGGTTCTATGTTTCGGTTTTTTTTTCGGCCCTGCAGTTCATGTGACACTGGCGTGAGCGTCGCCTAGAAGTCAGTTCGTGATGGCACCGGGCACGTTTTCCCTCCTGGAGCAGTGCCAACTTAGCAGTTGTGCTTCTGCTCTCGCGGCGAGTTGCGACGCGTGTTTCACTGGCCGAGGGGTCGGAGCGCACAGGCCCGAGGTCCGGGCCATCCGCAATCTAGCTGTCTTGACCTTGCGCCGGTAAGGGACCCCATGGAAGAATCATAACCATCATCGTCGGCAGCATCAACATTCCTCCTCATCCCTCCTCATCATGCGTGGCCGTTTTGGCTCGAGACCGGAACCGAGACGTGCGGCTGGGCGCCGCGGCACGCTGGGATATTCTGACCGCCGAAGCCCAATGACAGGTGGCGTCGCTCGCGCGACTCTGATTCCGCACCGATTGGGCAAAGGTTCCGCCGGCGGTCGAGGACATCGCCGCGCCCGCGTTCAGGAACGGTCGCCACGAGGTCCGTCATTGCGCCAAGGGGGGGCCACGGAGGCTGCACCGCCCCTCGACCATGAACCGAATGGTTTGCTTTTGCCTCGAGCTCCACGTCTGGCTCCAAAGGGAGGGCAAAAGCCCGTCTTCGCCGAGCACGAGCCCGAGGAGCGCAGGCGCGCTGCCGCGGTCGTCGGCGCCCACCTCGCGTTCGGTCGGGGTTGGTCCGCGAGGCAGGCGCGCGGCGCCCTGCCAGAGGACACGGGCCTGACCCCGCCGTGCTCGGTGGGTGTCCCCGAGGGCCTTGGCGACCAGCCACGGGGCACCCCGCATGACGGTCCAGGACCGCTGGGGGGGCGTCCCAGAGGGCGCGGGACGGAGGGTCGGTGCGGAAGGGGACCGTCGAGGATGGCGTCATCCGTCATGGCCTCCCTCGCAGCCAGCGTTCTGGAGGACGAGTTGCGAGTACGACGGTGCCTGGTGGGTTCCGGGCGTTTGCGTGATTGCAGACCCGATGACGTCCGTCATGGAAACCAATCCGCAGACGTGCAGCACGCTCTGCCGTCCCAGCGGCAAAAGCGGTCGACCCCGCGGGAGCGCCCACCTCGCGACGGAGGCCTACCTGAACGGAATCGAGGACCCTCGTTTTCTCTCATGACGTGATGAAAGGCACTGGCAGCCCCGCGCGGAGTCTCAGCGCCGCCAGCGGGGTTGCGCGTGACTGCGATGACCTTCGGGCGCGGGATAGCGACGAGACCAAGGACGGTCTGTAGGAGGACAAGTCGGTCCATTTTGTTTGCAGGGTCAACGACGCGGGGGCTCCCATCAGCGCGGGCTGCGACCTGACGCTGGACGCCAGGCCCTTCCTGGATTTCCAGCAAGAGCAGGGGTTCTAGACGGCGTTGCGCGTCAACCTATCGGACGATCGGGGGCTTCCGGAGATCGTGGGGAGCTGCGACGCTGGGGTGGTGCCGAGGCTGCGATCCGGCACGAAGTCATCTCTGCCAGCTGGGCCCCCACGATGTCATCAGGCGCTGTATCAGCCTGTCGGAGGCGGGGCCGTGCTCGTCCACTGCCAGGGCGGCTTCGGCAGGAGCGTGTCTTTAGCTTGCCTTCTACTTGTGCACATGTATAATATGTCAGGCCGTGGCCTCCCCGGCTGGGCGCGCATCGCGCGCCCGGGGGCCATCGTGACCCCGGGGCAGGAGGCGGCGCTGCGCTCGGCGTCGGGCCGCGCGGATCTCTGCAGGGGATACGGGCTCCCCTATGCGGCCGGGAGCGACACGTAGGGGCCGCGCGCCTGCTGCGCGGTGAGGGTTACGGGGGCGCGCGCTCGGGGGTGGGGGGGACGGGTGCGGGGGACGCCGCGAACCGCCAGGCCTCAGACGCCTTGGGCTGGGAATGTCTGATCGCGCGCGGAGTGGAGTCCTGCTGGTGTGTGTGTGTGTATGGGGGGATGGGGGCGGTGTTGAGTCGGATTTCAGTATGTTTGCAGCGGCTTGTCCGTGGGTGCGCGTGTTTCGCCATGGAGTCTTGCGGATCCTGCATCGGTCAACGGGCTGCGTACCAATTGGACCTGCATCGCCATGGAGTTTGCTTTCGCCATAAGAGTCAATTTTGGTCAGCGGGCTGCGTACCCCGCCAGTCGGGAGATCCATTGCAGAGCCATGTCAGGTTGGACTCACTCCCGGTGTGCGGAGCTCCCAGTGCGGACACCACATCCCGCTGGACCCCTGGCCAAGGCAGAGCTACCCAGGCTCACAGCCGGGCGCTAACCTGCGCCCGCACGGCCGCGCTGGCCAGATGCTGCGCGGTCTCAGCGCCCGCGGCACTTTCGCGGGCACACCATTCGCGCAGTTTCAGCGAGGACACGGACGCCAGCCTTTGGGGAATTGCAGTGAGGATTGCAGTCCTGGTGAGGTTGGAGCCTGCAGCTTTCGGAGGCCTGCAGGCTGACACCAACACCAATATCGGCGGTGTGCCCCGCGCGCAGCATTGAGTGGAGCTCTGGCATCCTTGGGGGCCGTATAGTCAGCGTTGGTGCAGGAGTTCGGGGGGTTTGCGTATTTGGGTGGAGAGCTTGGTCGCGGGGGTGGTGGAAGGGGAGTCTCCGGGGCAACGACAAGGGACGACTGCGGCCTGCAGCTTCTCGACCGGAGGCTTCGCGCAACGCCTGCGTGATGCATGCTATGCTTCGGTAGCAAATCATTGGAGCCTTGCTTGTCCTCGCTATTGCATCTGCAGGGTTCGGTTCGCTTGGGCCTACGTGTTGGTATGGGAGGCTCCCATGATTTGCCGCAGACACGCGTTGCAAGCCATGCGGTATCAAGGACCCCCTGTGTGGCCTCAAGGCCGCAGAGAGTCCTCGAAGCATCGAAAGCCTGAGGCCTTCTGCAAGAACGGGAAAGTAGCGGCCCTGCGTTTCCTAGATGCCGTAGCCCTTCATCTGCGGACTCCTTTTCATCCTCGTCCTCCTTTGAATCCTTCGTGCTCGAAAGTTTTGTGGCAATGCGATTATTTGGCCTGCTAGAGGAGCCCCGCGCACATGGGTCTCGCGAGCGGCTCGTGCGGACGCCTGGTGTTGTCAGGCAGTTGTAGTTTTGTCTGGTGCGCTTTCCGTCGCCGCACGGTGGTCGCAAATGGATTGTGGTGTTTACTAGCATAGTGCAGCTCTGGCAGCCCATTGGTGCTCACAGACACACTGCTGAGGCTAGCAGGTATTTTGGCGCGTACGCAAGGTATGTTGATGTTGGCCAGGTCTGGCATAATGTGCAAGCGTGTCGTGTGCGCGTGTGCGGTACATGGGTTTGGCAGGGTCGGGTTTTTCTCCTTCTGGTGATGGCAAGGAGGTACTGGCTCTCGCAGGCACTCTGTGGCGTTGGAGGGCTATTGTTCATGTGCACGTAGTGGTGCTCGCAGTCGCACTGAGTTGCTCCCTGGTGTCCATGCACGTGGGCGCACGGAAGCAAGTAGGCACTCTCAGGCAAGTGTTGGTGGTTTCAGGCGCTTGCGCTGCTACAGGATCAGAGTTGGTGCACACAAGCATTCGGTCATGCTCGCGGGCCTTTGTGGTACTGACATGGTCTCGCATCCTGTTGTTCACAGTGCGGCGGTCGCAAGTCATTGCGGTATTGGCAGTGTTCGGTATTATTTGTCGTCTCGAACAAAGGTTTTCTCAGCTTCGTCGTGGCGCTCACAGGGCGTTCTGGTTCTCGCAGGCACATGATTGGTGTTCGCGTGCTGTTGCGGCAGTGGGAGGGACTGCCATCTTGATGTGCAAGCTTGTAGCAGTCGCAGGCTATTGTGGTATTGGCACGGTTCGCATCCCTTCGACTACCAGCGGTCGCAAGCGCATCGTGATTGTTCCCAGTCACGTTGTGGTGCTCGCAGGGCATTGTGGCGCTCGCAGGCATGCGGTGGTGCTGGCGGGAGCACCCGTCGTGACGTGATCGGTACGGCATTCCCCGCCCCTCTCCGATCTTTCCTGCTACAATAGCGCGCGAAAGAATTATGACATTCTACCAGTGGGGGATCCGACGCATCATGCGGGGGAGGGAAGGAGGTTTGATCTGCGGCTGATGCTGGGGCCGTTTGGTGCAGTTGCCAGGAGCCAAGTCGAATATTACCAGAAGTGGCCCTCGCCCAGGGTGGCCCCAACTTTTTCGAGGAAGGCCCAGAAAGCAGTCTCAAGAGCACCCCATCACGGCCCAGCGGGTTCCACGTGTCTCGAAAGCCTGGAACACATCAGGTTGGGCCCCCCTCTGGCAACGCTCGTCTAAGGGCTGGCCCCGCTGGTCCACGCGCGCGCGCATCACCCCCCCCCTCCCCCTCCCTCCCCCCCCCGCCCCGCGGCCGTCACTGAGCCCGTCGTCGCCACGGCGGAGCGGATCTCGACGTGGGGCTGGTTTGTGCGAGACACGGTGGTTTCTTCTTCACGGGTGCACGTCTGGGAGGCGCGTGGCTGACGAAGAATTGTCGGGGGGTGTCGACTGACCACCCCACCGATCCTGGCCGGGTCGATTCTGAGCCCAGGATCGCTGCCCCTGGCCCCCTGGCAAGGCCACCACGGCCTAAACCCCGCCAGTCCAGGGCCCAGGCTGGGCCGGGCCAGGATCGGTGAGGGGGTCAGTTGATGTCGCCCGAACAATGGGCTATGCCATGCCAGCAGGAGTCGTTCAGAGAGCCATAGGGCGCAGTTTGAAGCTCAAGAAATCCCCGTACCATTCATGAAAATCAGCGGAGTGAGAGGGGGCAGGCATTCTCAGACGGCGGCCAGGCTTCTTAGAAGCCCTGTGGCCCTCTGATGAGCCCTTTGTGGCTTCGGGGAAGGATTAGCAAGTTTCGCCGCGGGCCAGAGGCCTTCTGAGCCTTCTGATAAGGCCGGCCCCCTCTGCCTTCTGCCATACGCCGGCAGGGAAAGGCAGACGACTGCAGCTGGTCCGCTGTGCGTAGTGTACCGCTGAGCGGACCTGCCCTTGGGCGCAGGCACTTCGCCTCCGAGGCGTTGCAGGGGATCATCACGGTGCACTGTAGCTACATCGTGGCTTTCGACACGTTCTTCTGGGAGTGGGTTGTGGAAGCACGGGAGGCTCGTGTCGAGTCGACACGGCGGCGACCTTGTCGCGGGTGTTCAAGGCCACGTGCCGCCAAAGGTCAGAAACCGGCCGATGTTGGAAGATGTGCACTATCCGAAATCCACGATCGTTCAAAGTTGAACGATCCACATTGTATCATTGCCTGAGTCGTCGTGACAAGAACCTGCAGTCGAAGCGCCGTCTGCAATTCGGTTCGATCGGTTCGGTTGTTCGGTGTGCCCCCCCCCTCCCAGCCCCACGACTCGACTGAAGGTATCTTCACGTTCCGACTAAACGTGTCGGCTCAGTTGTTTCGGTCGATTCGGTTTGGACGTATCGTTCATGTTGTTCGTCCTCTCTAGCTTCTCTCGATGCCCATGTGGCTCGCGCCCACAGTTCGACCTTGTTTAAACATGCAATTGGTGTGAACGATATTTGGTCCTGGAGTTGGCCAGCGGAGAAGCTAGAGAAGGAGGGTGGAGGAAGAATTGGGAGGAGTGGGAGGGGCAGCGGAGGAGGCTATTGAAATGGGAGTTGAGAGTACGATCTGATGTTCGACCTCAGAGGTAGCATGTGTGTGGTGGGTGTATTTGGATTCACCTGGGGTCCTGCACCGCTGTGAGGGCAATTTGTCCATGCGGCCAATTCTCAATATTTCTCCATGCGTTGTATCCAGTAGTCTGCGGCAAACTCCGCCACCGTGCCTGTGCAGCAACGCAGCAGGAAGGAGTCTGAGTATAGGATCAGCGCAATGTCGACAACTGGTCTGAACTGTGACGGATCGTGAGCTCGACCTCTTGTTCGTCCGCGCGGTATGGGGGAGGTCGAGTTCACGCCCCGCTGCAGTTCAGCGAGTGGTCTGGGTTGAGGTTGGTCGTGAATTCGACCTCATCTTCATCCGCGCTGCAGGGAGCAGCAGGATGAGGAGGAGAAAGAGAGAGAGAGAGAGAAAGTGAAGACAAGGAGGAAAAGGACTCTTAGAAACTCTTGGGGCCACCTGGGAGCCTCCTGGGGGGGGACTCTTGAGGGCCTTTTGGGCGACTGTTGGGGTCTCTTGGGAGTCCTTTGAATCCTGTTGGGCCATCTAAGGGGGCCATTGGCCCGTCTACCGCATGAGGAGGCTGTATTGGGCGCCTCTCTGGGCCGTCCCCGTGCACTCGGAGCGCTTGAGGGCCGTCTTTGGCGATCAGGGGATCCTCGTTGGCCGTCATGGGCGCCTCTTGGGGGCCTCGTGGGCTGTCTTGGAGCTAAGTTGCAGGCCTGTTGTGCCGTCTCCGGCGGTCGGAAACCCAAACAGACGAGAGCCTCAACATGTTTCAAAACCTGAAGGCAATGTTGGCCAGCGAGGGCTCCAAACAGTGTGTTTCCGGCGCCGCAGTACTCCAGGCCAATGGAAGATCGCCTCTCCGTGAGTCCTTCTCATTTGTCCTGGGGGTCGGTGCCAAGGTTCGTTTCTATTATTTGGGCTGCTCGTTTGTTGGATCATTTCCTTGAAGCGACGAAGCAAACACGGTTGAGACATACTTTGTCCGAGGTCCGTGTTGATTTCTTGGATGTGCGTTGAACTCGCCTCTTTGGGGCGCTCCCTCTGCCAGGAAGGAGAGGAGGGGGGTCCAGCGCACTTTCCAGAAATCACATCGGAATTCTGACATGTGTTTTGTTTCTGCTGCCGTTTCTTATTCTATCGAAGTGGCCAGTGTGCTGCGCATCATGGCGCAACCAATCCGATTCGGTACCGATGTCGTACCCGTTTCGGTTTGATGTTGAGAGGTCTTGCTAGACCGCGATGGCTTGTATGTGGGTGTGTTCGTCGTTCGTGCGAAGCTTCAGTGCGGCAAACGGGGACCACCGTCACCGAGAATCCGACGGGGTGGGGGCACCCCTGGGCAGTGCCTCGCTTCACCGTCGTCCGAAACCGGGTGGCGCTCGGGCGTGCCACCGCCCACAGGCCGCCCCCCCCGAGATGGGTTTTCGTGGGCGGAGGCCTCTGCCCCTCCCTCTGCTGGCCCGAGGGTGCGGGGGAGGACCACCTCCGCAGCGCCAGCATCTGCCCGACCGGGGGCAGCCAGGCCGAGACCCCCGCCGCCGCCCGCCCCCTCGGGACGCCCCTGGCAGACTTCGCACTCAGGGCTCGGGCAGCCCCCGCGGGAGCGACGGAATACCCGGTAGGGGCCGCGTGCTCTTTCGGCTCGGAGGTGTCCGCAGGCCACCCGTCGCGGAGGCGGGGGGGCAAGCATCCGGCCCCGAGGAGCCCGCGCGGGGTTCCATTTTTACAGTTTGCCCACAGTTGTCTCCAACGGTACCCCGTGGCCCCAGGGCGGCTTTGCGCTGGCCCCGCGGTCCGGGCCCTGACGCGCCCATGTTCAGGCTACGCGCCCATCTGCAGACTACGCGACGTTGCCAGGCTACGTGCCCTTTGGCAGGCTACGCGCCGTTGTTGTGCTACGCTCCCCATCTGCAGGCTACGTGCGCGCCGTTGTCGGGCAACGTGACCCCTTTGCAGGCTTGCCGTTCGGTTCGGTTTTCGGACGTCTTCGAGATGCTTGGGATGCTTTCCAGCTTCGGGGATGCTTTCCAGTCTTGGGCGGTATTCCAGCATCCGGCTTCCCGGCTTCCGGCTTTCCAGTCTTGGGGGGTATTCCAGCTTTGCGAGCTTTTCCGGCGTCCCGGGGGCTATTCCAGTCTTGAGATGTTTTCCAGAAGTTGCTCTTTGCCGAGAACGTTCCAGGGCTGCCCGAATCGTCCCGAACGGCCGCTAGAGGCCCGAGTTGTGACTGGAAAGCCAGAACCCATCCTCCTGCCATGAAGAGCTGATCCTTGAGGGAGCTGGTGCTTGGATGAGGACTCAGGCAGGGCCCATTTCCCTCAGGACTTGTTTCGTGCACTGTAGTTTGAATAGGGGTTCAGGTGGGATTTCGGCATCCAGGGTTCCAGGGCTCATCCCGAGATCCAGTGCGAGAGCTTCCGGGGTCGACGACGCCGAGTCCATTATACCAAACTGTTGACTCAGAACGATTCAATTTAGTGTGCCCACGGTTAGCGGGCGAAGCAGATTTCAAGTGAATTGTTCATTGGCACCCCTAGTGGGGCATGTGGAGTGTCATTTTTTGTAAGCCGCCCTAGGAGAGGCTCCCGATGGCGTAACAGTTCAAACAAGTAATTGATCCCCGTCCGCTGGTAGAAGGCTGATCCTTCAGCCACGACTCCCTCCGCGGGCCTAAAGCGGTTGTGGTCCTCGGCGTCGCCGCCAGCCCCCAGGCTGAGCCCGACGACTTCGCCGCACAGTGTCCACTTCTATCCGATCGATCCGATGCGACCCGAAGCCTGCGTGGCGCTGTTGTGCACCCTGGCGCAGCTGATCCGATTCGTTTCTGGTTCCATGCCGGTGCGGCCAGATACGACGCAGGTTCTGATCTGGTGTTCCGATTCGGTGCCGATTGATCCTGCGGTTTTGTGTTGCCGGTGCGGAGCTATCTGGAAGTAGGAGTTCGGCGTTCGGAGAGAAGGGTCGCAGGCGATTTCTCGCCAACCAGCAGCCGAGTTCTCCCACCAAACCAATGAGCGCTTAGAGTATAGGGGGAACTCGGGGATGCACACCCTGGGCCTATTCGGGCGCACCTCTATCGAGGATGGGCGCCCCGCATCCTAGATCCCCGAGTTGGGCCCCAAAGTGAACGGCCCGTTCCACGTCCCACTGCATCAGGGATTGCGGTCGCCATATCTCTTGTTGAAGAGGGCGCGATCAGGCCACTGCAAGGGGAAGGCGCCGCATGGCTGATTTCGGTGCGAAGAGGGCCGGAAGTGGTCGCACAGCGGGCCGCAGTGCATCTCTTGGTCCCACAGCCTTTCCCGGGAAATGGAGAGAGGAGCGGGGGGCGGGGGGAGGGGAATGGGCGGAGAGAGGGAATATGACGAGGAGATCAAGGGGATGGAAGAAGGGAAGGGTGGAGGGGTTTGGGAAGGGGAGAATGGGAGACGGGGAGGGGTAAGGTAGGCGCTCGCGCCATATTTGACATCTCACCCTTCCCATCCATCCCTTCCCATTGCGCTGGTTTTCTCTATCCACCGACGCGTGTCATAGCGGACCTGGAATTCCACAGGGGACCCCATCGTATCATGTGCAATATCAAAAAGAGCTGTGTACATCGGAGGAAGACGTGGCGGATGAGCATGGGGAAACGGAGGAGAGCAGCAGGAGCTGTTGTGGAAGGACCGGGAGGGGCATGAGGACCAGGGGAAGGTGGCCCGGGTAAAGCAAGGGGACGAGAAATATGGAAAAGGGATCCAGAGAAGTGGCCCGCGCAAGGGCAAGAGCGCTGTTATGAACGACGGGAGCACGGCGCCCATCCGAAAATCAGGCCTCCGCTGCAGTGGGAGCATGACTTTGAAACGCCCAAATCATTTCGAGTGAGCACACATCGGAAACATAACCTCTGTCCAATCCAGCTTATATGTATACATATATGTCTGTATACTGGTCCCCTGTATGCGTATACCCGTCTTCCCCCCTTTGGCCAGGACACGCCGCCCCAACACGTCCGTAGCCTGTTTGGGCTTTAGGATCCAAGCATTTCTTCGGGGTCACGGCCACGAGCTGTCTCGGTGGCCGCGAGGCCTGCTGCGAGGGCCGCCATCCGCCCTCCTCGCGCCCCTGGCGGCAGCGCTGGGTGGCGAGGGTCGCTGGCCTGGCTCCTGGCAGGCGCGGGGCTGGATGGCCCAGGCGGCTGTCGAGGACCTCGACGGTGGAGACGAGGACCTCTGGGAGGCGCCGGAGGCCGTCGTGCCCGCGCCCGTGGAGGACGGGCCCGTGCCGATCGTCCCGCTGGCGGTGGCCCAGGGCGAATGCTACTGCAGCACGGGCTACACAGCGGGCGGCCTCGAGCAGTGCCGGTTCGCGTGGCGGGCGCTGCGTGTCTCCAGCGCGGAGCCGCCGCAGCGCTTCGTGAAGACCGAGTTCCTCTTCAGCGACGACGGCTACTGGGACTGGTGGGCCAGCCACCCTGGGCAGCCGAGCGCGGTGACAGAGCGCCCGCTCATCCACGTGTGCTCGGAGAACCCGTGCTCAGTCGTGGAGGGGCCGGGGACGTGCACCGAGCTGATCCACGTGGCGGACGGGGCAGAGCTCGGCCTCACGGACCTGCGGGCGCTGTTCGTCGAGTGCCAGGAGGCGAACCCAGAGGCGGCTTGGCCAGCAGCACGCCTCGGGCCGCTGGTCGCCGCCGCCGCCCCCGCGAGGCCCGCTGCGGTGGCCAAAGCGGCGGGTCGCCCACCAGCCGCAGCAGGTCCTCTCAGGGCCCCGCCTGGCGCTGCCCCCTTCGACGACTTCCTGAGCGTAGGAGGCTCGTCGCGCGGCCCTGGCTCGGAGCTGGCCGCAGACGAGGAGGCAGCTGCCGCGGGCGGCCTGGGAGGAAAGCTCGCAGGGGCTCGCGTGCGCTTCGAGGAGGGGAAGCGGGCTGCTGGAGACGTCAACCTGGACGGCTTCCCCCTCGGCGCAGAGGCGGCTGGCGAGGGGCCTGTGAAGAAGCGGTCGCTCGGGGACCTGCTGGTCGAGCGCGCCGCGAAGCTCAAGAGGGCCGCCTCGGACGCGGCCCCCCGAGGGTCGGGGGGCCCTGCGCTCGAGCGGGCGCCGCCAGGAACTGGCCTGAGCGGCGGCACGGCGGAGCTGGCGCAGGCGCTCGTGATGGCCATCCGCGAGGGCAAAGAGGCTCCCCCTGGCGACGTCGGCGGGGACGGCCTCGGCTCCTCGGACCCCGCGGCGGTGCCGCGCGACCTGGCCACGAAAAGGGCCTTCTGTCGTCGGATGGCCGCCGCCTCCCCGGGCCGCCTCACGGAGCTGAGCCCGCAGCAGATGGCGGACTTCCTGGGCTCGCGGGAGGGGGAGGCGGCCGTCGACGCGACGGGCCCGATCGCCCTGCGGTACCTCCTCACGATCTACCTGCCGCAGCATCCGGTGAAGGAGATCGGCGTGCAGACGCACCGCGAGCTCCGCGCCCTCGCGGAGGCGGTGGACCTGCTGATGCAGGGGAAGGCGGCCCACGCCTGCGACCTGATCGTCCAGCGCCTGAAGGCGCTGCAGGTGGCAACGACGGACGGCTCGTGGGCGGCGGCGAAGTGGTTGGAGCTGATCCCGCCGCGCGACGAGCCCACGGCCATCCGCAGCGAGGAGGAGGAGCTCATCCGCAGCATCCAGCTCGGCGAGATGAAGCTGGACGAGCTCTCCGCGCGGCTGGCCTCCGCAAAGACGCCGGGATAGGGCGGAGGCCCGACGGGGGCGCGCCCGCCGCTGGCGCCTCCGTCTGTTGGCCAGGCAGGGGGGGCACCCCCTGCGACAGCGCAGGCACAGGGACCTGGGGGGCAGGCCCCCCGCCAGCCGCGGGCTCGGCCGCCCCGCAGGAAGGCTTCCGCGGCGGCTCCACCAGCCCCCCTGGCGGCGGCCGCAGGCGGGCCTCCCCCGCGGGCCGAGGGGTCGGCAGCCCCACCGCCGTGGAAGATGTCCTTCGCGGAGATGCGGAAGAAGTTCCCGAAGCAGCCGGGGGAGACGAGCACCCAGCACCGCCTGCGAGCCTTCAAAGCTCGTGCGGCGGCGCGCCCCCGTCGGACCTGAGCGGCGGCAGCCTGCCGCCTGCCCCGCGCTATGGTGGAGCCTCCTCAGGGAGGGTGGCCGATGCCTCCATCAAAGGCGCGAGCCCTGCGAGGGGCGCTGGTGGGGGAGTCCGCGGCGTGGGCCAAACTCGGTTTACCGAGGGCGGAGATCGTGCCACCCTATGCGGGGGGGGTGAGGGCGTCGCGGAGCCCCCGCTGGCCACCGCGCTGCAGTGCTGGTCCGACGAGCTCTCCTTCGGCTTCGGCAAGAGCATCGTCGCGGTCGACCTGGCGGCGCGGCTGGTGGCAGCAGTGCGACGCCACCCAGGCAGCCTTGGCAACTTCGCTCCGTCGTTCAGCATGCGTGCGGACACATTTTGTGGGAGCGGAGGGTCGTCGAACAGGAGGGTTCGGGACGCCCTGCCGCTTCCCCTTCCGTCGACCGAGGAGGTGGACCGCTGGCTGGCCCACAGCGCCTTGCCCGAGG